GAGTGGGCGAGAGTTTGTACTAGTGAGAGGAAGAGTGGGAGAGAAATCACAAGGGAGAACAATAGGTGTAGAGAGTGGAAACAAATCACACACAGAGGGTAGACCAAGAGGGAGGGTCAAGAAGAAAAGGCAGAAGGAGGGTAGGAAAGGAAACAGTCAACTCAAGCGCCACAAGAGTAAAATGTGAGAAACAGGGGCGGGGGGGGGGAGGGGGGGAGGGAACGGGAGAAGAGAAAGGAAAGGGAGGGAAGGGGAGAGGAGGGCAATAGGGGAGCACAGGTGGCAAAAGAAAGCATGAGAGTGAACCCAGGTGAAGAAGGCAGGGTGGAGAGAGAGGAAGGGAGGGAGGGAGGGAGGGAGGGCAGAAGAGAGAGGAGTGAGTGAGAGAGAGCAGCACCAAGAGCGGTGGAGGAAGAAAGAGATGGACAGAGAAAGGACGAGAGGGAGAGAGAGAAGGAGAGCAGGCATTAGAGGGAGAGAAAAAAGACCATGAGAAAGCCAAGTCCTTGACTTCAGCTTCGTTGTTGGCTGAACTGTCATCTAGAGTAAAAGCAAAAGGAGAGGAGAGGGAAACGGGATTCGAACCTGCAACTTTTGGCGTGAGGAGAGAGAGGAAAGGAAGGAGAAGTGGAAAGGACAGGTTTACAGACAGTCTTTGCCTCCAGCTGCATGGAAGACTGACCTGTCAGTACAGTGTTGAGTAATAGCACTCCCTGCAGCAAATACCCAATCATGCAACAAACAGTAAGAATTAGATGTATCAGAATATGAAAGGGTTTTTGGTCAACGAACAAGTCCGCGCAAAAAGCAATGCAGACAGACAGTCCAAGCCTGCATGTGCGAACTGTGAAAGCGTCCCTAATTGTCCTTCGGAACAACCGTTCAAATTGGAACGATACAGAGAAGCTTCGCATGGCCCCTGTGCAAGGATGACACACATAAATCGTGAAAGCAAACAAAAACAGAAAAAAACTTCAAAAACGTGTCCCTGACTTGCATTCCCTGGAAGAGTACATGAAATTCGGAGTTCGGAAGGGGGGAGTGGAGGAACATAAAATGAACCAGAACCCAACTAGATCCTACAGTTTCACTGCTGGAGAGAATCTCCCTTGGTGAGCATTGGATGTGAGCATTGGAACTTCCATGTGAGCATTGGATGTGAAGTTGCACCAACTGCCGATCACCTGCCTTGCCATTTTTATGCACATACTTTCAGCACGGATTAGGGCCTTTTAAGGATTACGAAACAGATTTCGCCTTTCTGCAGTCATAGATGCGGGCCCTAGAGTTCGATCCCCAGACCTCACTTTGCCCATGTACAGTATTGAGTCGAACCCCGAGTGTTTGAACCCGTCATCTGTGTTTTGGTAGTTGTTTGTCGTCTGTCGTAGGCCTGTATAGCGGTAGGGGTTTGATCTGGAGGTCTGTCGATTAGGAGTCACAGCTCTGTAGAGGTCGTGGCTGTAGATGCTCTGAAAGGTCAAGGTCGTAGCTGCTACAGTCCTGAAAGGTCAAGGTCGTAGCTGCTACAGTACCCGAAAGGCCAAGTCCACAGACTTCCGGAAGGTCCGGAAGTGGCCTTTCGAAGTGTCTCATGTTTAGTCAGAGGCAAGTGGGCAAGTGGTGAGCCCAGCAGCATTACGTCGGCAGTGCGACTGCATCGATTTGGCAGTGCAAACCCAGGCAGTCAGCGGTACCGGTCCCAGTCAGTCAGAGTCGAGTCAAGCAAGTACCGTGTGGGACTGTGTACACCAAGGACCTGGGAAAGGGGCAGACCAACGAGTTACAGAAGTATAAATCAAGAGGCAGCGCCCAGCCATTCATCCATTCGCTGCGTAAGCCATGCGGAAGCGCTGCTATAGCGTCTTGTGCGAGGTGGTCTGCAGGTCGCCCGAAGTCAAAGTGGGCTGAAGAGAGATATCGTAGCCATAGTCAGTAGTAGTAGAGCGGCCATAGGCGCCACAGGTTAGAGTTAGCTGTTAGTGTGTAGCATACTTGCGGGGCATCGCCATGCGCTGCGACGCGCACGTGCGCCGCACCGCGCAGTGCGCACGACACGCGCGCATGGCATGCGGCGCACTGTGGAATTGGGGGCTCCCCCCAAAAAAACGAAACTTCGGGGGGGTGTTGCAAGTCCACTAGTCACCTCCTGCCGCCGGTTCACGAAAAAAAAATAAAATAAATTTGAGGGCGCGCAGGGCCCCACAATTTTTTTTTTGGAGGGCGGGGAAATCCAAGTAGTTCGTTTTTGAACTACTCGGCCCTGCCCCGCGCCGCCCCCACCTCGTTCGTCGGCCTCAGCCCTGCCCCGCGCCGTGTGTTCCCCTCGCCGCTGTCGTCGTCGTCGTCTCGTGTCCGTCGTCGTCGTCGTCTCCGT